TCTCTTTAACAAGAAATGTGTCCTTCTTTACAGAAGAGAAACCAGCACCTGATGACTTTCTGGCTACTTCAACAACAGTGACTCAATGTAGCCTGCGCAATTTAATAGATGAGTGGCAAGAGGAGGATGAAAATCAAAAGGATGAAACGAAAGAAACAATAATGTGTGAAACAAAAGAACCAATAATGTATGAAACAAAAGAACCAACAATGACTGAAATGAACAAATCAATGGCCGAAATGAAAGAATCAATAATGGCTGAAATGAAAGAATCAATAATGGCCGAAATGAAAGAATCAATAATGGCTGAAATGAAAGAATCAATAATGGCTGAAATGAAAGAATCAATAAACTGGAAAAATCAAGATATATTGAATGAAATTGTGTGTGAAAAAGGTAGTAAATAGATAAGTTATAATAATGATGGTAAAATTTAGCATCAACTTCTTTTAGAAAGGACTATTATGCTGGGTGACTTCGTCACTAACAGTATACATGTATTTATTTATTTATTTACTATTACATCATTGTATATGGCAAAAAATTTTAAAAATAGAAAAAATTGATAGTTATTTAATAAAACATAATTTGAGCATACTCATACCATATCCATAATACTTTTCCACAATAAAGCACACTCGACATCATATAAAGGAAATATTTAATATTTAAAAATATATATATATTTGAATGATAAATCTTGAATATTTTGTTAAATAAATACATAGCAAACCCAACCAAATCAAATTCAACACCACCGAAGTTGTGCATTCAAGTAATCTATAATCATAGTAAATTATTTCCTAAACAGAAAAAATCAACTTTCGAGATTCGCGTTAATATGATCAGGCACTTAATTTGGCGGTGACATTCAATAAAGTTTTCCCGGTCCTCAGTTTATTCAATAAACAGGATTTCCATCAACTCTTTTGGTACTGATTTACATAATAAGTTCGTGTAATGAATGATCTCAATTTTTCGTGTTTATTTATAATTAATATCATTATTCAATTATATTGGAAGAGCAAAAAATTTGTTTTTGGTAATATAGCAGCCAAAGCCTCTTTTGTTATTGTTATTATAAAGATTTATAAATATAAATTTTTTTTATTTCATAGCAACTTTCTTCTCGTTCCTAAAATCAATCCATAATAATCATCGATTCATTAATACCAATATTACACCAAAATACTCTAGAAATTTCAAAAACCAAAAAATCAACATCAGCCATCAAATATAAACTAGAAAACTTACACCACCACCACCGAAAATAGATCAACGTCAGCTGAAGAAGCTATCACCAACGTTCTTTATAATACGCCAACGACTCCATCATCATCTCCGAAACGACATGCATTAAACTGTTTGGTACAAAATAAATTTAATGTATTGGGTAGAATTAGTGGTATTTTAGCTGCAAGAAATTTCAATATTGATTCATCCGATTGTGTCCGGTACTGAAGCAAGCTGATGATTGTTGTTTTACGTGGTCAAGATGTTGTTGTTGTTGAGCAATCTAGAAGACGATTAGAAGATTTGGTATATATATAACGAGGAGCATGAGTTTTAATAAAAAAATAAACAAATAAAGATTATAATTTATAGGTACCAGTACGATAGTTCTTGATTACAACTGTTATGTGGAAGAGAAATGTTATTGGCAAAAATGTCTATCTTGGGATCAATGAACAATTGGCTTTAATTAAACATGTGGGATACGATGATCAATTTATACCTGAAACTGATTTAGAGGTATTATTATAAATTTGATTTCTCTCTAATAAATAATAATGGTAAAAAGTGTTAATTATTTAAAAAATTCTAAATATACGAGCGACCAGATGTTTCATCTTAATGATGATAATATTGATGATGCAAAGCCACGTATGCCATCATCAGTTTTATGTCCTTGAAAGATTTATCTAAATTATTTGGTGGAAAAATTGTCAATGTATCAAATGATAGTGTCATAATAGAATAATCTGTTAAACCTGTCAGATTCATCAAATCGATAAAACCATTTGGTATTCTGGAAGCAGCGAGAAGCAGTAAATAAATATAATTGTGATATAATTTATGTTTTAATAATATGTTATATTATACGTATATGTTAAAAGAAGGTGCCAACTGGTTAATTGAAAATATGAATACATACATACATGTAATATTAACCGACTGATCCATGTAATAATAATAATAAAGTTATTGATAATTAATTTATGACTTTAAATATTTATATTAATTTCCTTTATTTAAAAAGATATAACATTTTACAAATCGTTTTAAAAACATTTAAAGAATTTTATAATTAATAAATATATTTAAGGAATTGCTTGATATTGAGGTACTTCTCTATTCTCCCCTTCTCTGCGTTCAGTGTATCTCAATTTTCTAAATAATTACACGTCGATTAGAGATCATATATCAATAATAATAATAATAATAATAATAATAATAATAATAATAATAATAATAATAATAATAATAATAATAATAATA